AGGCGCCGATGTCTGCCATGCTGGCGGCAGCTGTCCTGTCCCATGCTCTTGCCCCCAGCGTGCGCTCCGTGTGGGGCACGGGGCTCTATGCTTCTCCTCTTATCTCAGTCGACTCTCAGGACAGCCATCCTGGGACAGGGGCTACCATCGTCGCCCCTTGATGGGCAGGGAAACGGAGGCACAGAAAGACCAGGGACTGTGCTGGCTCCCCCTTGTCTCGCCCCTCCCTTCTTCCAGCCCCTCCCTCCTTCCGCCCCGCCCTTTCCAGAGCCCCTTGGTCCTTGGAAAGTGCCTGTCAAGCCGCCAGGTCGTGGGGCCCCAAGAGTGGGACAGCGCCAGGCTCCGTCTCCTCACCTGGGCGGGGAGGGGTTGGACACCTCTGGTGCTGTCTCTCTGGCCCCACCCCCGGCTCCCTCTAAACCTCATCTGGCCTCGCAGGTGCTCCAAGGTGTGCTTATCAGAGGGTATGACAGGAAGTATGGGCACCACGAGGTGGGCGAAAGAGGAAGTGGCACTGCCCTGCCCACCTCGCCACCCCCCACTGCCGCCTCTCTTCCCCCAGGGCCCCCCAGAGGCGCCCGCCCTGCAGCCTCATCTTCAGCGACTGAGACGGGGGCCGTACCTCTGCACCATCTCAGAGGTCCCTGGTCTTACAGTCTCCGAAAGCAAACACGCGCCCGTGCCCCGTCCTGGTGGGGCGCGATGTTAACCCCTGGGGGCACCGCAGACGCGACGTAGCCCCTAGCTCCCGGAGCGGAACCCCGGCAGAATGCTGTGTGAGTCACTGGCCGTGTTCCATCCTGAGAGCAGGGAGGCACAGGTTGTTCTCTGAGCGCGGAGGACCGGTGTGGACTGGGTGGCGGGCGTCGGGTAAACTGGGAGCCGCAGAGCGAGTAGCAGCCGGCCAGTGAAGGACAGCCAGGTGGAGGGAACAGGCCCACAAAGGCATGGAGCGGGGCGAGCCATCTGCCTTCCCTCCCTGGGCTGCGGGTTCTCGGAGGTTCTCCTCTGTGTCTCCCTGATGCCCTGCAAACCTGTGGCGCTCAACAGATGCATGTAGGGCTGAATTGATCCCCAAAGGGAGGGAACGAGAAAAACGGCTCCCTGGAACCCTCGCCCCAGGCCGGGGTGGGGCGGCTCTGCCCGCCCAGACTTGCCTCAGACTTAAGCCGCTTTCCTCAGTCACGGTCACGGAATCAGGAGGATGGGATTTGAGAAATGCGTGTCCCGGTTTCCATGAGCTCAGGCGGAGCGGCGGGTGACGATGACGGTGGCTCTCTCGCTGCCCTCCCCGAGCAGAGCCAGGGTGAGCCAGCGCGAGCCAGCGGGAGACTCCCGGCCTCTGCAGAATCGGAGTGGCCAGGGAGCACAGCTGGCTGTTCAGGGAGCGCTGACGCGGTGCCAGGCGCCTGGACAACGACCCCACGAAGATGCCCCTAGGGTGGGAGGCTCGGAGAGGCGGAGGAACTTGATCGAGCTCACCCTGCTAACGAGCAGTGGCGCCGGGGAGCTGCCCTCCCCCGCTGCACCCCGCTGCAGCCCATGTACAGGAGAAAACGCACACCCTGGCCTCGCCCACTGGTTTTCAGAGCAGAGGTTCGGCCAGGATCCCAGGAAGCCTGGGGCAGACAGCGACCCTTGGGGATCCCTGGACCTCATCCCCAGGCTCGGGGACCCCCACGCCCCTTCACTCGGCAACCTGCCCCTGCACTGAGCCCCTCTGGTCTGTGCGGCTCCCGCGCCATGGAACACGACTCTGCGTCTCACTTTCTTTGTTCTATTTCCCCTCCACAAGGTCAGCCCCAGGAGGGGTTTTTATCCTCTGCCTCCCACCTGTGTCCCTCATTCCTTGCATGGAGCCTGGCACGCAGTAGATGCTCAATAAACTTTTCCCTGAACGAATGAGGAGGAGGATGGTTTCCTTGGGGCCTGAGCCCATCCTGCTGTCACTTCCACCCCCCCCAGGCCTCCCCTGCTGTGACCTTCCCCTCCCCCAGGCCCCCTTGCTGTGACCTGACCCCCCTCCCCCACTAACCAGGCGCTTGCATCCAAACAAGGAGCTTAGAGGCTTGAAACACAAATGCTCCAAGGCCACCAGGGCCCGGACACACTGCTGTGACACTTGTGTGTGCAAAGCTCACACTCCTGAGCCGTGCCCTAGCTGGGCGCCACAGGCAGCTGGGTGCTGCCGCCTGGCTAGAGTTCTGGAGAGTGGTGCCCAGAGGCCAGCCTGGCACACAAGGCCTCCCCGGGAAGCCGGCTCACCATGGCCCACATGCACACACACACATGTGCACACACACACGGAGAAAGACACGAACACACACACACACAGGAGCCACGCGGAGCCACAGGCAGCCTCAGGCCGGCTCTGCGCCTGCGCCCGCCGCCCTCTCTCCTGAGGCTGGCACGGGTTAGGAATGTGTAATTACAGCCTCCAGGGCAAACGAGAACAGGGACTGAACTCTTCCCCAACCACAGGGAACAGGGCAGTCTTTGGGGAGGGCACTGCCACAGAGCAGCAAGGCCGTGTGTGCGTGCGTGTGTGTCTGCACATGTTAGAGTGTGTAGTTGCGTTCACACTGGGGTGTGCACGCGCCTGGGTGGTGTGGTGGGGAAGGAGCCCATGGCTAGGAGTCCAGGGGTCGCCTTCAAGGCTGTTGGCTCCCCGGAGAGCCACTCAGAGCTCAGTTTACTCGGCTGTACAATGGGAGCAGTCGCCTAGCCTTGCTCACCTGGTTCCTGGGAATTCAGGCACAGGCAGGCTGGGAGGGGCTCCGTGGGTGGATTCTAAGGTGGGTCTCTGCAGTCCCAGGCTGTGTGGGGGCGGCAGCAGGGGACAGGCAAGTGGGGGCCGTGTGGCTGAGATGATGATGGTGATGATGAAGAGCAAATACAAGAACCAATGTCCACCACGTGTTTAGTAGGGGCCACAGACGCCTGACCTGCCCGCCTCTCCTGAACCCCTCCAAGGTAGGAGCCATCATTGCCCCCACTTGGCACCCATGACCCTCCCCTCCCAGGGGGCACTTGTGAAGCTCGGACAAGACCCTGGCAGAGCTCGGGGTGGTACGTGGCTCCCAGGTCATGCCTGGGAACCTGAGGGGTTCTGGCAGCACATACCTGAATCGGAATTCTGCCTCTGTCACTAGCCTGCTGGGAGGCCCTGGGCAAGTCACTTAACCTCGCTGAGCCTCAGTTTCTGCATCTGTAAAATGGGGATTGTAGCAGCTGCTACCTCCAGGCAGGATTTCTCAACCTTTGCACAGCTGATGGTTTGGGCTGGATCATTCTTTGTGGTGCGGGCTGTCCTGCGCTCTGTTTCATGGCGTCCTCCTGGTCCTGACCCCCGTGCAGCAGTGACAACCGAACATGTCCCTGGACGGTGCCCGGTGCCCCTGGTCTGGAGTCACCGTGAGGACTGGGTGAGCCTGCATGGGTGACACGCCCAGGCCTGAACCTGGCCCAGCCAGAGCTGCGGAATCCCCACAGTGGCGGCTTATTTCCTGACTGCTTTCTTGGGGAGCGCTTGATGTTCCCACCGTGCGATTGCCCACGGCCACGCAGCGCCAGTGAGTGGAGGTAGCTGACCCCCTACTCCTATTTGGGGGCTCCCTAGAAATCTGGGCTGCTGACCAAGCTGGGGTCCCTTAGGGGAGAGGCTGCAGGCGTGGTGCAGGGCCTGGAAGCCAGAGACCTCTTTCCCTACATCTGCATGGCTGCCCCTTTGAAGCCTCAGTTTTCTCATCTTGAAATAGGAACAAATGGCCGGCGCCGCGGCTCACTAGGCTAATCCTCCGCCTGCGGCGCCAGTCCCCCGGGTTCTGGTCCCGATTGGGGTGCCGGATTCTGTCCCGGTTGCTCCTCTTCCAGTCCAGCTCTCTGCTGTGGCCTGGGAAGGCAGTGGAGGATGGCCCAAGTGCTTGGGCCCTGCACCCGCGTGGGAGACCAGGAGGAAGCGCCTGGCTCCTGGCTTCGGGTTGCACAGTGCTGGCTGTAGCAGCCATTTGGGGGGTGAACCAACAGAAGGAAGATCTTTCTTTCTGTCTTTCTCTCACTGTCTAACTCTGCCTGTCAAAAAAAAAAAGGAACAAATGATACTTGGCTTTAAGGTTGATGTACAAGACAGGTGCATTCTTTGCCTCCTGGTGCTTAACGGCCTAGGATTTCTCTATGCCTTGAATGACTGGAATAAAACCTACAGACATTGGGGGCGTGCAGCCTGAGGGGGAAGGTGGGGGGGTAAGGGGGAGGGCTCCCCAGAGGAGGGTGGGAGTAAGCCAGACAGACGGGGGAGGGGAGGGGGCAGCATGGTGGAATGGATTTTGTGCACTTGGGGTCTCAGTGTCCTGTTCTGTGAGATGGGGGTCAAGGCGCTGGTGCTGGCAGGTCTCACTCGCACGGTCACCTGCCCATGTCTGCTGAGCACCTGCTGTGTCTGTGGGGAGCGGGGGCTAATGGCTGTGCTGGGCAGGCGCTCACTGTGCCCCAGACGCTGGGGTGCGTGTCCTCTACTGTTTCTTCCTTGAGGCCTGGACGCCCCCATTTTCAGATGAGAAACCAGGACGGGGAGATGCCGACTCGCGCGCGCTCACAGTGGCTAAGACTGGATGGGGCCTGGATTTGAACCCTGTGCTGTAGGGCTCTGACGCTGGCCTTGAGTGCTCAGTAGCAGGCTCCCAGCTCGAGGTGCAGGGCCCGGTGTGGCCTTGGAGGCTTTCGCTCCTCTGGCGAGTGCCGGGCAGGGCCGGGAGGCGGGTAGCTGGAGCTGCACCCGAGGCAGAGTCGAGTTTCCAGCTCCCTGAATGAGGCTGCTGTGGCGCCTCCCGCCTGGGGCTGGCCGCTGACCACATCTGGGAGCGGCCTCCCCGGGCCCCTGTCATTACAACGGTGGCTTTGAAGCAGCTGGCAGCAGCGCTGTTTTCCCACGTGGGAGGGGGCTTCCTGGAGCCCTCGCCACTGGCCCAGCGCTGCCCGACTCCTCTCTCACTCCCCTGCAGGCTGAAGAGTGCAGACGGCTCTGGGGCTGGCATGGCGGATCCCAGCGACAGCCCCCGTGCAGGGCCTGGGGAGGCGGCTGAGCCCCCCGGGGATGAAAGCAGCACCGCTGGTGGGGAGGCCTTCCCCCTCTCCTCGCTGGCCAACCTGTTCGAGGGGGAGGATGGCTCCCCGGCGCCCTTGCCCGCGGATGCCGGGCGCCCCGCTGGTCCTGGTGACGCACGGCCCAACCTGCGCATGAAGTTCCAGGGCGCCTTCCGCAAGGGGGTGCCCAACCCCATCGACCTGCTGGAGTCCACCCTGTATGAGTCCTCGGTGGCGCCGGCGCCCAAGAAAGCACCCATGGACTCGCTCTTTGACTATGGCACCTATCGTCACCACCCCAGTGACAACAAGCGGTGGAGGAGGAAGGTTGTAGAGTGAGTACTGGGGGCTGCCTGGCTGGTGGGCTCTTCCTCTGTACTGAATCCATCCATCTACCCACTCACCCATCCATCCTCCTGCCTGCCCACCTGCCCACCCACCCATCCATCTGTCCATCCACCCACCCACCCCTCCATCTTCTCCCCCAACCCCCCATCCATCCTTCTATCCTTCTATCCAACCATCCATGCACCCAACCACCTTCCATCCGCAGTTCACTCACTCACCCTTCTGTCATACATTCATCTCACTCATTTGTACAACTACTTACCCATCTGTCTTCTCACTCACTCATTCATGCACTTTTCATCCACCTACCAATTGTCCCCTTACCTGTCACTTGTCCACCCATCTACTCATGTAACCAGTTTCCCATTTGTTAATTATAATGCACTTATTTATACATACACTTACCCACCCAACACCCACTATTCAAATATCCTAGTTAAACTTTCATCTGTTATATGTCCAGCCATCCCCCCATACAAGTAAATCTACCTACCATTTACTAATCCAAGTACCCATCCATCCTCTAATCTGCCTGCTGTTTATACTCACCTAGTATTCAGCTAACAAACTATTCATAATTCATTCATTTCCAGTGCTTGAGTGGTAGCCTGCCTGCCTTCCTTCCTTCCTCTCATCTAACTACAAGTTTGTCAGCTCCTTGTCCACCTATTTGTCCATTCAGTCATTCATTAGCAGACTCATCTATTCATTCATCCATCTTTTCATCCATTTGCCCATCCATCCATCCATCCATCCATCCATCCATCCATGTATCCATTCATCCATCCACCCATACATCTATCCTTCCACCCACCTACTCATCTGCCCATGTACTCATCCACCCATCCATCCATCCATCCATCCACCCATCCAGCCACCCATCCATCCCTCCATCCACCCATCCGTCCATCCACCCACCCATTCATCCCTCCATTCACCCATCCACCCATCCGTCCATCCCTCCATCTGTCCATCCATACATCTATCCTTCCACCCACCTACTCATCCGCCCACCTACTCATCCACCCACTGATCCATCCATCCATCGATCCATCCATCCATCTATCCATCCACCCTCTCACCCATCCACCCACCCATCCACCCACCCATCCATCCATCCATCCGTCCATCCCTCCACCCATCCATCTACCTTCTGCTGGAGGACAGTCCAGCTGCCCCACCCAGGTCTTCTCCAAGCATCACCTCCACTCCTGGGCATCCAGTAGCTTTCCTGGGGCTCTGAGAGAGCACCAACCATTTCTCTCCCATGGAGAAGGCATAGCTGTAAGTGAAGACAGAGAATGGGGAGAAGCCGCCCAGGTGGGGTCCCAGTGCATGGCCCCCTGCGATGTGTTCTATGCCAGACCTGGGAACTCCCAGATGAACAAAGGGACCTCCTTCCTCTAGCGGGTTCTGCTGAACTGCGTCCTGCGGCCCCGGACTCAGGCGCCAGGGCCTCTGACTGCTGTGGTGCAGGTGGTCTTCGGCACCCACAGGTGTCTGTGCCCTGCCGACCCCGTGCCTTGTGGGGCTGAGCCCTCCTTACTGGTCTTTAAGGGAGTCCAGAAACTTCTCTGGGTCCTTGGCAATTTGGAGGTGGGCGTGGGACTTACAGGCTCCATCACCTTCCGTCTGCTTGGCCGAGCCAATGCGGGGTATGATCCTTTCTAGGTCCCGCCCTGCCTTCCTGGATTGACCCAGACTTGGAAGCTGCCCCATTCCCCAAGTGCGCTTTGAAAACCCCTGCTGGCCCCGCTGTGTGTGTCACGGATGGACCTGCAGCCTGCCTGGCTCTCTTCTGGCCGCCCACTAACCCGGGCTCTGTCTGCTCTTGAATGGCGTCTGTTCACCATCTCACGCCCTGTGTGGCTGGGCGCTGTCCTCTTTATTCCTGGATTTCCTTAAAAGTCCTTTTCTAAACAATATTTATTTTTATTTATTTGAAAGGTCTTCTGTCCACTGCTTCACTCTCCCAAATGCCTACAACAGCCAGGGCTGGGCAAGGCCAGAGTAAGAGCCCAGAACTCCATCCAGGTCTCCCACGTGGATGGCAGGGACCCAGATACCTGCACCATTACCATTACCATTACCTCCCAGGGTGTGCTTTGGCAGGGAGCTGGAGTTGAGAGCAGAGCTGGGACTCAAACCCAGGACCTCCAGGCGGGCTCATTGGGTGCTGGTGGGCGCAGCGTCTTCCTTTGCTGCCCCTCAAGCTGTCCTTCTAGCCCCACCCCCACCCCCATCACAGGCAGTTGGATCTGGAGGCGCTGGAGGATTGGGGCCGGGAGGGCGGGGATGTGGCTGCACATCAGGGGGCTTCAGAGAACCTCCAGGGCTGCTACAGGGAGTCTGGCGGTGGCGGGGGGGGGGGGGGGGCTTTTTATTTGTTGGCTCTGAGCTCGAAGTTCAAGAGCAGGTCAAGTGGGGGCTGCCCAGGTGCCCTCGTTAGAGACCACCGCAGTCTCTGTGCCCCTGGTGAGCAGGAAGCACCTGTTAGTCACCCATTGGTGCCCAATGCCCGTGTCCCAGTGCCCCCTTGGGTGCCCACTCTGAGGTGGGAAGCTTGGGCCCTGGCAGGGGAAGGAGGGGGCGTGGCTGTCCCTTCTCACAGGGACAAGAGCTGGGAGCAGCCAGACACAGGCCTGGCACCCCTTGTGGCCCCATGCCCCCACCCCCACAGCCTGCCCTGGCCCACTCTCCCTGGCTGCCTTCTCCCCGCTCTCTCAGGCTTCAGTTTAGGTCGTTCCCTCTCTCCTTCCTCCCAGACTCTCGACCTCCATCTTTTCCTTTCCCAATCCTCTTATTCATGGAATGGATCTTTCCTGTGGCCCCATGTGCTGGGCACTTGGTCCAGGGGAGGATGGGACAGAAAGAGGATTCCTTCCCATACGACACCTTGGCTAGTGCCTTCTCTCCTAGAACCCAGCACACAACAGGTGCCCAATTCATGTTTGTTGAATGACTGATTGAGTGTCTTGAAGCCCTCCTCCTCTCGATGTCTCTTCTTTCTGTCTGATCCCCTCCTCCAGCCCTCTCTTCCACCTGCTTCTGTCGTTAGTGTCCTTTCAGGCACATACAAGGGCAGGACACACAGTAGGTGCTTATTAATCATAGCCACATTCTTTCTTTCTAACATTCATTGAGTGTTTACTGTATGGCGGGCACTGGGCTAAGTATCTGTGTCTCAAATGTTTGTTGAGTGAATACATTGAGTGGGTTATGAAATGAATGAATGAGATGCTTTATCTTTCAGTCTACTGTTCCTTTTTTTTTCTCATGGCTTTTGTCTCTTTGCATCTCTCTCTGCCTTAGTGCTCAGTAGATGACCAATAGATGAGTGGGTGGATGGATGATGTAAGGGTGAATGGATGGATGGGTGGACAAATGGATGGATGGATGGATGAATGGATAGATGGATGTGTGGAGGGGTGGATGGTGGGTGGATGGATGGGTGGCTGGGTGGATGGATGGGTGGATGGGTGGGTGAATGGGTGGGTGAATGGATGGGTGGATGGATGGGTGGATGGTGGGTGGATGGACAGTGGATGGGTGAGCAGGCTGTTTCTTGCTGATCACCTCCACCTATCATGCATGAGTCCTGCCTATAGTTTGTTGGATAAAGCATCCCTTGGTATTCACAGCTGTGCCTTGCCTTTCAGTCTGGTCCCTCTCCAGGGCTTCAGCTGTTTCCCACCTCTAACCCCTGGGTCCCCAAGGCCAGGGACTGCTGGGCAGCGGGGGACGTGCCCTGCATCTTCCCGCTTTCCCACCCCTCCAGGAAGCAGCCACAGAGCCCCAAGGCTCCCGCACCCCAGCCGCCCCCTGTCCTCAAAGTCTTCAACCGGCCCATCCTCTTCGACATCGTGTCCCGGGGCTCCACTGCCGACCTGGATGGGCTGCTCCCCTTCCTGCTGACTCACAAGAAGCGCCTCACGGACGAGGAGTTCCGGGGTGAGCTGCCCAGGGGGCGTAGTGGCGAGGGGGGAGCCAGGGGTTGGAGAGAGGCCTGGCTTTCGGGCTCCCTTCCCCCTCGGCGTGTCCCTTCGGGTTGGCAGGAGTGCATTGGTCCAGAAGAGCACTGGACAGGGAGTCCTGTCCTGCACGTCCTTCTCCACGTTGCTCAGCCTCTCTGGGCCTCCACTGGTTCACACATGCGGTGAGTGTGGCAGGTGGCAGAGTCGCCTGGGTTCAAGTCCTGCCTGTACCGCTTGACGGCTGGGTGTCTTTTCCGAGTCCTGGTTTCCTTGTCTACACTGGGTGATGACAGCAGAGTCGTGGCCCCTAAGGATAGATCATTCCATACTGTGCCTGGGGGCCTGGGAGGGGAGCCCCGGAAGGGTAGGCGGGGCCTGGGACCTGGGCTTCCAGCTTCAGCTTTTGAGGGCTCTGCTCCACCTGCACCCCTTACCCTAGGCTCGAGCCCCGCTCACCCTGCAGCCCTGTCCAGCTCCCGCGGCTGCTCTAGGCGAGGGAGCCTCTGAGCCCCTTGACCCACTGCGGCCTGTGCCGTTTGAGCCCTGGGGAACTGAGTTGCCCAGGATTGCATGGATCAATAGAAAATGGTAAGAATCCTGACGCCCGCTGCCCGCGAGCGCCTGTCTCAGGCCGGCCGGCTGGGGTCCATCCATGCTTGGGTCTGAGAAAACTGCCGGGAGCTCCGGAGAGGCCATGGTTGGGACTTCAGCGCCTGTGAGTCAGTTATGACCCAAAGCAGGGCGCCGGGTCTGTGCCTCGCGTGGACCGTTGTCCACTGCGGTAGGGGTTTTCCTCATTTGTTATTGTTTTTAAAAAAGATTGATTGATTTGAAAAGCAGAGTCACAGAAGGAGGGAGAGACAGAGAGAGGTCTTCCATCCGCTTGTTTACCCCCTAAAAGACCACAATGGCAGGAGCTGGGCCAGGCCAAAGCCAAGAGCCAGGAGCTTCTCCCACGTGAATGCAGGGGCCCAAGCACTTGGGCCATCTTCCACTGTTCTCCCAACCACATCAGCAGGGAGCTGGATTGGAAGAGGAGCAGCTGGGACTCGAACCAGTACCCATAAGGGATGATGGCACCACAGGAGGCAGCTTAACTTGCCACGCCATAGCACTGGCCACGATTATTTGTTTTTTAAAAAAGTGTATTGGGCCGGCGCCGCGGCTCACTAGGCTAATCCTCCGCCTAGCGGCGCCGGCACACCGGGTTCTAGTCCCGGTCGGGGCGCCGGATTCTGTCCCGGTTGCCCCTCTTCCAGGCCAGCCCTCTGCTGTGGCCAGGGAGTGCAGTGGAGGATGGCCCAGGTGCTTGGGCCCTGCATCCCATGGGAGACCAGGAAAAGCACCTGGCTCCTGGCTCCTGCCATCGGATCAGCGCGGTGCGCCGGCCGCAGCGCGCTGGCCGCGGCGGCCATTGGAGGGTGAACCAACGGCAAAGGAAGACCTTTCTCTCTGTCTCTCTCTCTCACTGTCCACTCTGCCTGTCAAAAAATAAAAAAAATTTTAAAAAAAAGTGTATTGATTTGTTTGAGAGGCAGAGATACAGAGATGGACACACAGAGACTGAGATAGATAGAGGGAGCTTGCACTCACTGGTTCACCCCTCAAATGGCCACAGCAGCAGGGGCAGGGCCAGTCTGTAGCCAGAAGCCAAGAACACCACCCAGGCCTCCCACGTGGGTGTCAGGAGCCCATCACTTGAGCCGTCACCCCTGCCTCCCAGGACGCACGTTCACAGGAAGCTGGAGTTGGGGGCCAGAGCTGGAATTCGAGCCCGGTACTCTGATGCGAGATGTAGACGTGTGCATCGGCACCTGAACTGCTAGCCAGACACCTGCCGCTCAGCACCCTAGTGATACAGTACAGAGTCCTTGTGTCCATCAGAAGGGACTGCCAGGGGGCGGGGATAGGGACAATGCTGTGGTGCTCAGAATCCCGTATGGGCACCAGTTCGAGTCCCAGCTGCTCCGTTTTTTTGTTTTTTTGTTTTTTTGTTTTTTTTTTTCCGACAGGTAGAGTTAGACAGTGAGAGAGAGAGAGAGAGACAGAGAGAAAGGTCTTCTTTCCATTGGTTCACCCCCCTAAATGGCCATCACGGCTGGTGTGCTGTGTCGATCCGAAGCCAGGAGCCAGTGCTTCCTCCTGGTCTCCCATGCAGGTGCAGGGCCCAAGCACTTGGGCCATCCTCCACTGCCTTCCCAGGCCACAGCAGAGAGCTGGACTGGAAGAGGAGCAACCAGGACAGAATCCGGCGCCCCAACTGGGACTAGAACCTGGAGTGCTGGCGCCACAGGCAGAGGATTAGCCTAGTGAGCCGCAGCGCCAGCCCTCGGCTGCTCCACTTCTGATCCAGCTCCCTGCTGATGGCCTGGAAAAGCAGTAGAAGATGGCCCAAGTGCTTGGGACCCTGCACCTGCATGGGAGACCTGGAAGAAGCTCCTGGCTCCTGGCCTTGGGTTGGCCCAGCTCTGGCCATTACAGCCATTTAGGGAGTGGACCAGCGGATGGAGGACCTTTCTCTCTGCCTCTCCTTCTCTCTCTCTCTGTAACTCTGCCTCTCAAATAAATAAATGAGTATTAAGAGAGAGAGAGAGCTGCTAGAATCATCTAAAAATACTCATTTGTGGTCCCCAGCCCGGCAGTGTGGCTTCCCTGGGGGGCAGAGTCTAGGACTGGGCCGGGGGGGGTCCGTTGCCCCTTTCTGCCCTCGGCATGTCTCGGCGGCAGGGCACTTGCTGTCACTTAGAGCGCTCCTGCACCTCCAGCTTGGCCAGGTGGCCCCTCGTGGCCCGCCAGGTCTGTTAGCCGAGGGAGGGCAGCTCCGCGCAGAGCGGATCCCGTGGGATGGACGATGGCACCCCGGCCTGCAGCAGGGCAGAGCAGTGCCCTCGGGGCCACCCACACCCCCGGCGACTCCTGAGCTTCAGATCGAGTCCGGGGCTCTTGGCCTGGGGGCTCTGGTAGGGGCTTGTGAGGTGGGGGTCTCTGAGTTGCAGATGAGCGTGGAATTTCCACCATCCAGGGCCCCGCACTTGCTAAAATTCCTTCTACAGCTCTGGACCTCCTTGTATGTTCATTTTCCTGAACGGGGTCCCCCCAATTCTATAAGCATCAGGCCCCACAAAACCTGGATCCGCCCCTACATGTGTTTCTGGCTACAGGGTGATGAGTTCATCTGATTCCCAGGGGAGTCTGGGGACGCCCCCCCACCTTCCCTTTGGTGCACAACCGCCAATTTAACAATTGTCAACTTAGGGCCCTGGGGTTCAGCTGCCCCTGTGGCCTGGGCCGCTGCGCCCCCTGGTGGCCAGGCCCTGGTATGCCATGTCTTGCCCCATTTCTTGGAAGATGCCCCCTCTGACAGCACATCCTGGGGCCCAGGCCCAAAGGGCATGGCCAGGGTGATGCCAGGTTGTGGCCAGCAGGGGGCGTCATCCTCCAAGGTGGGGATGCGTGCAGACTGGGGTTGGGGTGCGGAAGGGGATGCTGAGGCCAGCGCAGGGAGCTCCAGTGGCCCTGACAGTGGCAGTGAGAGCATGGTCTGATGCCGCCTGGAAGCTAGGGCCCAAGGCAGGTGCGTGTGTGAGTGTGTGTTTGTGTACATGTTAGTGTGTGTATAAGTGCATGTGTGTGAGTGTGTGTGTATGTGTGTGAGTGTGAATGTGTGTAAAGGTGTGTGGGTGTGTGAGTGTGTATGTGTGTGTGTGTTAGTGTGTGAGTATAAATGTGTGAGTATGTGTGTTTATGTACATGTTAGTGTGTGTATAAGTGCATGTGTGTGAGTGTGTGTGTATGTGTGAGTGTGAATGTGTGTAAAGGTGTGTTGGTGTGTGTATGTGAGTATGTGTGTGGGTGTGTGTGTTAGTGTGTGAATGTGTGTGTTAGTATGTGAGTATATATGTGTGAGTATGTGTGTTTATGTACATGTTAATGTGTGTATAAGTGCATGCATGTGTGAGTGTGTGTATTGTATGTTAGCATGACTGTGTGTAAATGCATGTTGGTGTGTGTATGTGAGCATGTGTGTGGGGTGTGCATGTGTGTACATTTGTACATATGTTGTATGTGTTAGTATGTGAGTATATATGTATAAGTGTGTGTTTATGTACATGTTAGCGTGTGTATAAGTGCATGTGTGTGTGAGTGTATGTATTGTATGTGAGTGTGAATGTGTGTAAATGCATGTTGGTGTGTGTGAGTGTGTATGTGAGTGTGTGTGGGGTGTGTATGTGTGTACATTTGTACATATGTTGTATGTGTTAGTAGTGAGTATATATGTGTGAGTGTGTTTATGTACATGTTAGTGTGTGTAAGTGCATGTGTGTGCGAGTGTGTGTATTGTATGTGAGTGTGAATGTGTGTAAATGCATGTTGGTGTATGTGTATGTGAGTATGTGTGTGGGTGTGTATGTGTGTACATTTGTACATGTGTGTGTTAATAGGTGAGTATATATGTGTGACTGTGTGTTTATGAACATGTTAGTGTGTCTAAGTGTGCATGTGTGTGTATGAGTGTATGTGTGAGTGTGTATGTGAGTGTGTGAGTGTGTCTGAGTGTGTGTGTGTGCCGCACACACACAGGGGCCCTGGCAGCATTCGGGGCGGGCCCTCCACCTTAGGCAGAAGGGGAGGCAGACTCGGTTCTCCTGGGCTGGGTGCTGGGCGGGTGTGGGGAGGAACGCAGTGGGGACAGGGCTCCCCTGGAAGACCCG